GGACGACCTCCCATTCTCTTGCAGACAGATGTATACGTGTGTGTTAGCTCTAAGGGCATGATCTGGGGCCCCCAGTGCATGTGGTACCAGCAGAAGAATGTAGACTTGGATTTGGATGCCAGCCCAAAGCCTGTCATCTTTAGGATGGCCCTTCTTCCGAGCTTGCAGCATTTTCTGTGCCTGGGAGAGTAAATATCCAGTAAATATTTTCTTTCTTGCACCTATTGGTTAATGGGAATGTAGGTAATTCCCTGACTGAGAACTTGCTCTTGACTGTAGCCCCTGCAGAAAGTGCAGGCAGGGGGTGTGGCTAATGCTGCAGCCAGCGGGTTTCAGCAGCCCGAAAGCCAGGCTGCACACACGCCCTCAGCTCCCTGAGAAAGGTTTGAGAAGTCCAGCACTTTAGCTGCACCGGCCACTCTGGGACACTTCAGCTTCCCAAGGACATGAAAGCAAAGTCACTTTTATCTGGCCTTGTGGTAGCCTCAACTCAGACGAGTCTGTACTGGGTCGACAACAGAAAACCTAGATGTTTTGTTTATTTAAAAAGTAATGGACAACTGTGCAGCCGCTGCCAACCAACGAAGTGAGCCATTGCTCATGAATGCAGTAAATTTCCTCCCTTAGTCCATGCGCCTGGCGGGTGCCTCTCCTGGAAGTTGTGCAGATATGTGTTCCTTTAGCTTTTCCCCTCCTTTCTCTCCTCCGCCTCCCTGGGCCCCATTTCTAGATATATTTGTGTTGTTGGTCGGCTTGAATTTGTTTTGGAACCTAAGAAAAAGGCAACCAGATACACTCCAGGGGCTTGCATTTGTCAGTGCTGTTGCTTTACTAAATCACATGCATTCTGGACAGCTGTGGTAGTCCACTGAGCGAACACCCCAGTTTCCCTTTCACCTGCTGGTGGAGAGGGCATTGTTTCTTTCTCTTTCCTAATTCGACTTCCTTCTTTTTCAATTTTTAATTTTTTTTAAGATTTATTTATGCATACAGAACTGGGGTATAGGTCAGAGGTGTGTGTGTGTGTGTGGTGGGGGGTTGTTGAGAGGACTCACCAAAGACAGAGTGGGGAGCAGTACAGGTGGATCTACTGAAATCCACTGCAGAGGGGAGCAGTAGTGAGACCGGAGAAGTCTGCTGCGCCCTGTGGGTCAGTTCCCTGGCCGGGGATCGAACTCATGCTGCAGTGGCCAGCAGTAGCTTCATAATGCTGAGACTTAACCCCTGTGCCACCAGACTTAACCCCTTGCCCAAGGATCCAGTTTTATTTTTTTCTAAAGATAGTTTTCCCAGCTTTTCCTTTTCCACTCTACCATGCTACCTCTGTCAGAAATGAAAGACTCACATGTGCATCAGTCTTTCTAGGCTAGTTTGTTTATCTCTACACTGTTGTCCTTATCATAGATAGAACTTTACAGTAAGCTTTTTTTTTTTTTTTTTGATGAGCAAAGCAAATGCCCCTTCCTCATTCTCCTTCAGAAATATCTGGGCCTTCTTTGACTCATTTGTTGTTGCATTTAAATATGGGGGTCAACTTTGCAGAGAACCCACAGAATAACTAAAGCGTAACTTCTCTACAGTATGGTTGCTGTCTTTGTTGTACAGTTCTGTGTTTTAACAAACCCACCACAAGTGAGACAGAGCCAGCCTGTCACACCGCGGTCCACCCACCCTCTGCGCAGGCCCTCCCTGTCCCGTACCTGTCTCTCTGTGTTTTGTGAGGTTGTTCTGAGGTGAGGTTGATTCACAGCACGGTGCGGGCTTCAGCCTATGGCTCACACCTCACACTCTGTGCCACACACACCCGCCACTGTTGATTTTCTTTTGAGATTTTTTTTTTTTTACTTTCAATCTTCTGAATGCTTTGCTAAAATGTTGGGATATTTGTACTGGAATCACCTTAAACCTGTAGATCCATACAAGAACAGACCTATAGCTTACGTTGTCTTGTCTGTAAGCAGCATTTGTCAGTCTCCACTTGGCTTGACTATAATGGAAAGGTCTTAATTTTTAGAAAAATTCTAAGTATTTATAATGCCTAGTAAGGGAAGAATTTTATGGGATACCTATTCACCTAAATAAACACCTGAGTACACACAGACGCATGGCAGACGTGTGGCAGTGTTCTGTGTTTGAAAAACCACGTCTGGGCTCCAGACCAGCCTCAGTGCTGGGCGATTGTTCCCACAGTCCCGTGGGCCAGCTCCCTGGCTTCCCCGAGCCCAGCTCTTGGTGCCCGAGGGGTGGATACCCTTCCTGAGGCCAGGCATCTCCCACGGTGGAGATGAAGTGCGGCCACGCTTGTGTCCAGAGAGCATCCGGGAGGGAGGAGACTCTGCTCTGCCTCACCTGCAGGGAAACCAGGACGTGCTGGAGTTTGGCTCCCTGGTGGCTTTAACAAAGTGCAGGAGGGAAAGATGGCCCCAAATCCTTCCCCGACAAATATGGAAAAGGCTCCTGTTACGAGGCAGCTGCTGCAAGAGCTTCTGACAGGGAGCTGGAGTCACTGGAGAGCACGCTGACAGCCGATCGTTCTGCTGATTCATCCATTACTGGGGGGGAGGGGGGGGGGCTCTGAGCCAGAGCTTGGCTTCCAGATTAAAGACCGAGAGCTCTAAGGCTGCAGGGACTTGAAGGAATGCTGGTAAATTATTGCCATGTGAAGGCCAGCAGTGAAAAGTGGATTGTTATTTGTTTCCCCTTTAAAGTTATCCTAATTCCAAATGTGCTCTGATAAACCCCCCACTCTGGTGGTTGGGGAATTGTTTGTAGCATTTGTTGGGGGGTGGGGGACTGAGGACTCAATTATTGGAAACAATCTGATGCTGTTAAATAGATCATCTTGGCTCCTTTATGATCTTGTCGCCTTACCTTTGCTTTCTGGGAGAATGCTGACTCAAATCGATGTTTTTACTTGGTGGTCCAAATTAAATTTGAGCTAGGGACTGTTACAGATGTCACCTCTTGGAGGCATGCTTGCGGCATAAACCGGCTGGATTAAGGAATGAAATGTAAAGAGGAAAATCTAGGAGGTGCTCATTTGCCAACATTGAGGACTAAATGGGGTCTCTGGGTTCTCATGCATCACATGGACCCATTCACACATCCCAGGAGGGGTCACACCCGTGGAGAAACCCACCCTGTGAGAGTGTGCTTGCGAGAGATAGGGTGAGTTTAAGAGGTTGGACATGGGGTCCTGTTTTGCCAAGTACCTAGCATCATCCCAGAGACGGCCCTCATGGGCAAACTGGACGTTTGTTGGATCAGCAGTATCAGAAAGGGTTGGCCCAGTAAACGCAGTAAGTTGTGGGGTACAGTTGGGTTACTGCAGAGAAGATGTCAGGAAGTGGTGTGTGGAAAGGAAGAAGCGGGAACTATCCTAGGAGTAAGGTTTTCAGGAAAGGACCCTGTTTCTGTGGTCCTCTCTGAGTGGCTCTGCTTGGCACCGTCTCCAGAACCAGGGCGCTCCCTCCCCATCTCCCGAGGACCAGAGTATGCCGGGGGAGCTCCCATGACGTACGCCCGCTGCTTCTTTGGGAGACTGCATAATCTATACGTGCTTTCACCCTGTGTGTGTTTTCTCCCGGAGTGAATATTTTTCATAGTGAGAATCTGTGTTTCTTGGCGAAGCACGTCTTTGTTGCTGCGTTGCTTTGTTCTCTCGACAGCTAACCACCGAGGGCCTGCCCATCTGTCACCTCCGTTGTGCTGAGACGCGGCGGTGGCAGGTCGGTCCCTTGGCGTATAGAGGGTGACGGGGCGTCCACCGTGTGGAGCGTCTGTGCTTGCAGTTGTCTGGCACAGAAGGTCCCCGATGAGCAGGAGCCCCCGTCCAGCTCAGACGTGCTCCCCAACTGTGTGCGCTCTTCCTGCTTGCTGCCTGCAGCCCTGCGCGCTCTCGTGTCATTTATTAAGGGTCTTTCATTCACACTGGATTTATTAGGAACTGCTTGGTGCCAAGAACATTCCTAAGAGTGGGTGTCTGGATTTGTTGGGGATGTCATGGTGCTTTTGCAGCTACCCAGGAAATAAGTCTGCTCCTGGCAGCCCCTGCCCGCACGGCCAGGCTCTGAGGTCTCACTGCCAGCGTGGGCAGTGGCTGTTGGCAGAGATCGCGGGCTAGGAGAGAATATCTCAGACTGCATAAGCCAGACGTAGCAAACGGGCACCCATCCACCACAGGACTTCGGTGGGTCCCAGCTGCCATCACGGGCCAGCTTGCCCCCTCCTTGGAGGGGGCATCAGGGTTAACAGCGAGACTGACCTGCCTTCGCTCCGTATTACACCGGTGAGGGCGGACACTCCTGTCTTAGTACACCTGCTAGCGAGGGGCACTGCCAGCCGGTGGCTAGGGCGTCAAAGGTGCTGAGGCTGCGTGGGGCCTGCAGTCCTCAGGAAGTGAAGGGCAGGGCAGCAAGGACCCTGGTCCGGGAGCAGAGAAACCTGCTTTTGCATCGCAGTGCTGACACTCACCCGCAAGTGGGAGCAGCCGCTGCCCTCCGCCCTCCCTCCCACCAGTCCGCGATGCCTCCCTAGTGTGTGGGAGCCGGAACGTGTTGTGCACAGCCCTGGGCACGGGGCTGTGGCCTTCACAGTCAACGCAGACAACAGCACTGCCACTAGGCTTTTATCATCTTGATTTTTAGCAAAATGAATGAGGATTTACAGTTTTTCCTCAGTGGCTTTGCTTCATTTTCTTACTCTGAGAATAATTCTCAAGCAGTAATGTTCCCTGCAAATCTTTTTGACATGACTTTTCCCCTTATGCCACCATGGCCCTGCAGGCCATGGAGCACTTCCTTCCCATCGCAGCGGAACTGGGGAGCAGTGACTCTCCTCCAGATGAGGAGACTCAGGCTCGCAGAGGCTCGGGGGCCTCCCTCTGGCCACTTGGCTTCCAGGGGCAGGGCCGGGCCTGCACCCAGGGATCCTCTGTCCTAACGTGCATCTCCAAGGTGTGGCCACACCCCCTGTTAAGGGTTTTTCCCTTTTCCTTGTAGCTGTCAATACCAGCAAATATGCAGAAAGCTACCGGATCCAGACCTACGCTGATTATGTTGGGAAAAAGCAGGAGGAGAAGCAGGTCAAGAGGAAGTGGACAGAGGATGGCTGGAAGGAGGTGGAGCGGAAGCGCCTGAACACCCAGTGCCTCTCCTACGCCCTGCAGAGCCACTACTACCGCGCTGCTGGGTGAGTGCTGCAGTAGCCTGGCCTGGTGCGTCTGTCCTGACTGTCAGCAAGGAGTCTGCCTGTTGAGGACTCTTCTGATGCTCATGTACTATCAGGAGTCACGAATGCTCCACTCCCTCTGCACCGTGCTCACCAGAGCTGTTTCAGTCAGTGGTCAGAGGCTGCCGGGCAGGCAGGTGCTTCCTAGTCATAGTACCCAGGCTGCTGGTATGGGTGAGAGGAAGCTCCAGGACTTGCCTACTGGCCCACATGAGAGGGGGATCAGACTGAACCCCTACGCCTGATCCCTTCCTCCTCAGTTCCTCCTCCATGGCCTCTGGCTAAGTGCCCAACCCTTCAGGTCCCACACGGGGCTGTGGAAAGAGGATTGGCCACACTTGCTTTAATAGCCAGGGTCCTGCCTTCCAAAGCCAGGTACTGGTGATATTTTGCTGTTTTGCGAAACTGCAAAATAGGTATAGAGTAAAGGGGGCAAGTTTGTCCTAGGAAATTGCAAACTTTAGGAAAGTGTGAATGAACAGACGCTATCACTGTCAGTAGTTCGGATTGCCCCCTGCTTTGTACATTTTTTTAAAGAGATTTTAAAATTGTATTTTAAAATAACACAATAAAATGTATAGGTATAGAATGTTGAATTGAAAGCGTTTTAGCAGTTCTGTAGCTATATACCCATGTTCTAAAGTGAGACATAGGACATTTCTGTGCTCCCCAGAAGATAGAATTGTGTGCTTCTTCATAAGCTGCCCCAAGTCCCTAGTGCCCCAGCAACTATTTCTATCACTATGAATTATTATTCTTGGAATTTATAAAATAGATTCATATGGTATTGTGTTTGGCTTTATTCACTTAATGTGTTTTTATCCTAGATATGGTATGTCTTCACAGTGTGTTACTTTCTATCATTCAGTAGTATTCCATTGCATGAATATAAAATACTTACCTGTTCTCCTACTGGTGGATATTTGGTAGTTTCCAGTTGGGCAAGATTATAAATAAATGCTGTGAACATTTCTGTAAACACGTTTTTGTGGGCACATGTTTTCATTTCTCTTGAGTAAATACTAGAGACTGAGACTACTGGCTGGCGTGCAGGCTGGTGTTTGTGAAGCTTCACGGGGACGACCTTGCATTTCTCCCAGCCATATGCATGTGTCATGCCCCACCAGGCTTGTGAGCAAGTTCTAGTTGCTCCGCGTTGCTGCCTGCCTTCAGCGCTGGGGTCTTTTAGTTTGGCCACTAGAGAGGGTTTAAGGTGGTGCTGTGTCGGCCCGGTTTGTGTCTCCCTGCTGGCCGAGGCTGTTGAAGGCCTCTTTGTGTGCCTGTTGGCCATTTCGATATTCCAGGTGGATGTTTAAGTCTCTTGTCCACTTCTCATTGGGTTGTTGGTGTTTTCTTTTTGTTTTGTGTGCGTACTTTTATGTATACATCCTTTGTCAGCTATTTGTGCTGTAATTAAGTTTGTTGAGTCTGGGACCGCCTGTCCGTTTCAGTAGTGATGTCTTTTGGTGAACCGTTGTTTTGATTTGAGGAAGTCCTGTTTATAAATTGTTTTCCCCCTGTCCAAAAGATCTTTTGCTTACCCTTAGGTTGCTATGATTTTCTCTTGGAAATTTCAAAGTGTTGGCTTTTACCTTTCTTATGATCCATTTCAGGTTCAGTATGGAATGAGGTAGGACCAGCATTTAGCTTTTCCCATGTGGATAGTCAGTTGTACCAAGGCCCCATGTCCAAAAACACTGAATTGACGTGGCACTTGTGTCTAAATGGGCCGTGACCATCGAGCTGTGTCTCTGAATCTTCCGCTCCATTCACTTTTTTCTGCTGGTGCCGCCTTTCTTTCTCCTGCGACCTCCCAGGGTCCTCCAGCATTGCCTGGCGCCTGTGCCTAGTGCTGCAGTGAGCACAGGGCTGTCTCTCTGATTCGGCGCTTCTGCATTCTTGGGTTAGACACCCAGGAGTGGAATCGGGATCATATGGTAGGTCTGTATTTATTATTTTCAGACATCTCCACTCTGTTTTTCACAGGACTAGGCCAGTCTGCATTCCCACCAGCAGTGGACAAAGGTTGCTTTTCTTCCTCTTTTGCCAATTCTCGTGATTTCTGGGTTTTTTTTTTTTTTTTTTTTTTTCATACGAGTACAGCTGAGTGAGATCACCTTTTACCTCCTTTTCTCCACATCCTTGCCAATATTTGTTG